AAAAAAAAAAAAAAGACGGTGGCTATCCCTGGACGCCTGGAGGAGGCTGAGTGGGAGGGCGGGGCTTCTTGGGGGAGGTCCCGTCTTGTTCTTACTGAGCCCCGTGGTTCGGCTGGGGAAGATCTCACTGGCCCAGACCTCTGGGGGTGGAGCGCTTTTCTATACCCATACTAAGCTTACGTAAAAATTCCCCTACTTTCAGGTAGTAAAATCTTTTTGGGGGAAGCTGGGCAGGGTGATACACACTTGTAATCCCAGCACTCGGGGCAAGAGGATAGCTCTACATAGCGAGATCCTGTCTCCCAAAATAAGCAAACAAACAAACACAAAAATCTCTCTGAGAAATGAGGAAACAGAGTCTTCCTTCCCCTTCCTTCTAGACTGGGGAGCCAACTACCGTGAGCTACATCCCTGGCCTTCTACACTCAGTCCTTAGTTGCAAGGCTGCTCAGGCCAGGCCCAATCCTGTGCTCCTTCTGCTCAGCTTCCGAGAGTGCTGGGATTATAGGTGTGGGCCACTGTGCTCAGTTTAATAATGTTTTCTATTGCAGTTTTACCCGGTGAGCATGTCCCCTTTTTAATCATTATAACCCACAAAGCCATTTTTAAGATATGGGAACACTTGTGAGGGTTTTGCCAGACAGAGGTACTAGCTCAGCCTGTTCTCTCCAGATGGCGACGCTGGTTCTCCGAGACACTGAGATTGCTGAGCGCACAAGGCGAGGAGAACCACGGGGGTCAGAGGGGTGCGAGGGGGGCCTGTGGGCGCTGCACTGTGCCTGGGGGTGCTGTGTGGGTGTCAGTGCAGCGCCCAAGGCCATGATGAGAGGCAGGGAGTCACTGAGGCGGGGGAGTGGGTGGGGCTCCGGAGCACACAGCAGCGCAGGGCTGCCACGTCTTCCGCGGCTGTGGAGCGCAGGCGTTGGGCTACCAAACTCGCTTTTGGGGGTGCCGGAGGCACTGAGGAAATACAACGGGAAAGAACGTGGTGAGGGGAGGTGAGAACAGGAAGGGAGGCTCCCGGACAGCCTGCAGCCTCGGGAGGAGGAGCCTCCCCGCGTGGGAGGGCAGAGCAAAAATAACCCAGAGAACCTGGCAGCGTCCTGGGAGGAGGTGGCGGGTGCGGCGGCACCGCTTGAGTCCTGAGTCGCTTGCAGTATTTAAAGAGTGAGATGTAATTAGGTGGCAGGTGCCTCATTAAACAGCCTTAGTGTCCCTGGCTGGGTGTCAGAGAGGAAGAGACTGAGATCCGCCAGGAGGTGGTGGTGGTGGTGGTGGTTGGGGAAGGTCGCTGGGCTGCCTGTCTGTCCCCAGCCCCACGGTCCCCAGGAGGCAATTGGCAGTGTTTAGGGACCAGGGACCCTGCCCACCCTCTGCGAACGGACGCACAGGGCAGGCCACTCACTGTGAAGATGACCCAGAACAAGGAGCTAATGGATCAGAGAAGGCCAAGCTCATTGAAAGTCGTGTCCATCACCCAGTCTTTTTAGCTCCTTAGTGCCACACTGGAGGGCGGGGTAACACTAAGGGCCCCTGCAGAACAAGTCTGGCTCAGGGAGGGAGACCTAATAAACCTCGCGACCCCATTCTGCACCCTCACTGGCTTTCCCCGCTCAGGGACCCCGAGACTCGAGGCTTCCCATCCTTCCCTGCCCTGCTCTGCTCTGGGGACAGTGACAACAGGGGGCAGTGGGCAGTGCCCGTAAGGGGCAGAAGGCCTCTGCCATATCTGCTCAGCCCTCCCGGTGAAGAGAACAGAAGCTGCAAGCACGGGGCAGGCTCTGTTTCAACACAGCTTACATTGTGACACCGAGAGAGGGGCTGAGACCTGCACAGGCAAAAGGCAGGCGGCTGTGGAGGGCCACACTGGCTTCGCTCGCCCCTCTTTTTTTCCGGAAATGTGTGTTCCAGAGACTCCTGAGCGTGGGCTGCTCGGGACCCTGGCCTCTCTGCATGGCACCCACCACAGCTTGCTTTCTCTGTTGGTGCGCAGGGAGAGGGAGGACTTTACTGCCTGCTCCCTCAGAGAGTGCCACACTTTGTGCTCCTGGCAAACAACTTCAATGAGGAAGAAGTTTCCTTTGGAAACAACTACAGTCAAAAGAGCTAAACAGGAAAAACATTTTTTGTGGGCTTTTTTTTCTTTTGGTATTGGGGATCAAGCTCAGGACCTTAACGCTTGCCAGGTGGGTGCTTAAGCTGTTGCGCTATATCCCTGGCTCAAGAAAAATGTATAGTAACTAGAAGAACTGGTGAATCCTGGTGTGGTGAAAATCACAGTGGCAGCCGATGGAATGGGTAACTTTTGGGACAACATGGCCCTGGGGCAGGTACAGTTGCATGTACCCGAGCTCTGTGCTTAGTGATGTTTTAGCCAGGAGGGGAGTGCGCACAGGCTGTACATGTTATACAGCCTGCACGTGCAGCAGGCTTTGCCGTGGAGGTTGGCTATGCACGCAGGCACCCTGTGTGTCAGCCACCGTCCACACGATGACAGCTTCGCCCAGCCACGCAGTGCTCAGGTCTCATGCCAGTGTCACGGGCACCTAACCACACTATTAAGACACATGTGGTATGGAGAGGCCACCACAGGCACAGGAATCAGATGAGAAGGAACCCACGGGGACAGGGGACAGGAGAGAAACTGCTCCAGGAGTGGCGAGCTTTGAGGTGTAAAGGTCCTGAGGCAGGAGCAAGCGTAGGGTATCTGAGGAACCTGAGGAGGGCAGTGAAGGCGGGAGGAGGTGACCTCACTGGGAAGAGGGCCCAGATCACACCGGGTCCTGGAAGCCCACTGGGTCCTGGAAGCCTCAACGAGGAGATACACACACGCCTGAGACGTGTGCACCAGGTTTTGTGTTTTATGTGCCTTTTCCTGGAAACACCCCCAGAGCATTTGACACATTCTGAGAGGAGCCCAGGACCAGGAGCCACTGAAGCTGACTGGGATTTCACACCCTCTGTCTGCAGAAGAAGCTGGAGGAAAGGTCTGGGGCTCTTGCCCTGCTTCCTGAGCCCCAGCTCCCCCTCACCCACAAGTCCTAGGCTAATGGTGGGGGCCCACCCACGCTACTGCTGTCCAGGTCATGATGTCAGCGTCCTCAGTTCTTCCTTCTCATAGAATCTCTGCCTTTCACCATCGCTGTCCTCTTCCATCCCCACCCCTTACAGATCCAGAAAGAGTTTATTATGCAGGCTCCACAAGGCCCCAGAAAACAGGGCTTCAGTCAGAGGCTTTTAGTGCCAAATTAGATTTTGCTCTCATTTGATTAGATTTCCCCAAGGCAGCTTTTAAAATGGTTATTCGGGCACCAATAGAGGTGGGAGAAGCAAATTAGCATGGGCCCCAGAGTGGGGGCGGGGGGGGTGAGGGGTGGGGGTGATCTAGCCAGAGAAAGAGCTGGAATTAAAACCAAGATTACGTGCGCAAACTGAATCACGCTGGAGCTGGAACTTGCGCTCGCGCAGCTGGGTGTGCAGGACGCCACGATAGGAGACAATACCCGGATGTAGGATGTGGTGTACGGGGGCGGGTTGGAACAGAGCAGCTCAGCAGCAGGCAAAGCTTATGGAGAGACCACGGACAAAGTGAAGGTGGCACTGGTCGGAGGATGCAGGGCTGGCACCTGCAAAGGACACGCACGGACTGTCTCTGGACGAGGCCTGAGGGGGGAGAGGAAGTTGAGACTTTTGTTTCGCTTGCCCTGTTGTGAATTCAACTTTGGTATTCAAGTGTGCAAAGGCCGAGCCCGACT